GAATTTTAATTAGTTTAAATTATTTATGCTTACGTCGCCAACCAGCTTAATCTTTAAACAGTCTATCAGCACTATGGTAACATCATTACAGTACTTTTGTCTGACAAAAATAAATCTATATTTAATTTACACTGATGTAAAACACAGAAAATCCTCACATTTCAGGGGTCGTCAGTGACCGTTCTTGGCTCTGCTGCTTAATAATGAACTTAAAGAATTGATTATTTATTTAAAAATGTTTTTTCATTATTTTTCTTTCAATTCTTTCAACACACACATGCACACTCACGTGTGTGTTGATGAAGATGAGGAGGAGGGGAGAAGGAGAAGGAGGACTCTTTGCAACTCATCTATGTATGATGGCACAGTTGGACTCTGACTAATGGGGAAACTCTTTATGTATATGAGTCACATTAATAACAACACAGAGTGGACAGTGTGGACATTAATAACAGTGTACAGTTGCAGAGAGCATATAGCGCAGTACATATACTAGAACAGCCACATCAATAATAACTCATAATCTCCAACTAGAACATGAATCATCATGCCATGTGGACACTGGAAGTCACACAGGCAAACCCTGTGTTCATGTAAACACCTAAAAATAGAACATCACAGTCATTAGCCGCAAAAGGCTAAAATTGTCCCAGTGTGTCTCTCTCAGTTCAGCAGACTATTAGAAACCATTAGCTTTAAAGGGAAATGAATAGCTCATGCACACTGTATTGTTTTTGTTATTTACCTGCTTCTCCACATGCTGGGTGATGCACGGTGGGGCTAGTTAATGAGGCCAATAATGTAGCAGTGTGCGCCTAATGAGAGAAGATGAGCCCAGGTTCCATACAATTCACATTTAATTTTTGTGTATCTGTGTGTAAACATTATTACATTCCTGAACCAGGACTGTTGAATTCACAATTAACTACTTCACAGAAAACCTGCTACGTCCGGCGTCGACGTATTTGTGTGCTGAAAAAGCCTTTAAAAATCATCAGCGCACAGACTGCGCTGTCGGCACGCTACCGATATCCCACTCAAACTGCACTTGACATTTTGCTGTTTTTTTTTTTAACATATATGATAGAAGTGTATCCCATGTTGCACAGAGCCAGAGAGCTGATGAGACCGCTCAGACGACGCCTGTGATGTCCACCTGCTGTGAGAGACAATAACCAGATGTGAAGAGGAGAGTTTGACACATGCAAGTCTGCTCATTGTGGCTAATTACCAGGCTGAAGCATCTTTCTGTCAGCCACAGAGCGACACAGAAAGGGTGCTACAGTACACGCTGCTTTTTTTTTTTTCCCCTAATCAAATTCATCCACCCGGGTGAAGCCGAAACCCGTGTTTACTTGTGCTGGATTCTCAAAAATCTTCTCCGCCATCTGAGTTCAAACAGCAGAAATAGACTGAAGAAAAACAACAAAGCAACCTCACTTATATCAGGATGCCCTGTCTGTCTTGATATAAAGTAATGAACAAACTCACTTGTTGAGGGCCTGCTTCTTCACGATCAACCTGGAATAGTTTTTTCAGCTTATCAAATCCCCGCACCAACCAACAGTTATAGCAGCTATCTGCTTCCTGAGCAGGTAAGTGAATCGAAAGGGTTGTAAAAGTCTGATTAACTCAGGGCTGGGGAGCTGGATAGTCAGATAGTGGGTGGGGAAATGGCGACCAAGACCGTTCTGTCAGATGTTCCTCTTTGCAAATATGCCACCGTGTTTCTGCGATGTGGAAGCTTATTATCTTATTAAGCATTCTTTTATTTCCCTCTATAAAACACTGGCAAAGGGAAGCGTGGAGCTCTTCTTGCTTCTCCTTGTAATAGCTTCTCACGGCTCCTCATTCTATTACAAAAGATACAACGGTTAGTTAAGACCCCACGAAACATTTCATTTTCTTTCCCTCTAATTAAATGTGTCTCAGATGAGCCCACTGAGCCCACTTGTCGGGTTGTCCTCCATTTGGAGTGCCACCAGAGTTTAATATATGGCATTAAACAGGGATTGAGGATGAAAATGAAGCCTACCTCCCATTGGGAATGTAATGGATGATTAGAAGACATAATCTTAGTAATACAGAAATCCTTTAGTTTCTGTCATTTTATTTAAGTTACTGTCTTTTAAATGTGGTAATGACTTTGGCTATTTTTGGCACAGTTAAAATTTCAACGCTGAGGTTATAAAATTCATGCATAGAGTGCGTGTAATGAGTCGTCCGTTTCCCCCCCCCCCAATTTCTCATTTAAATGAATATACTGCAGGGGTTTTGTATGGTTTTTCTATATGTTGTGTGAAAATGATGTTTCTGCATGATATTTTGGAGACACAACTAGCCTCGTCTTCTCCAAATAGGTACAGCTGAGCAAGCATACAAGCAAACCATCTCTACTGTAGCAAAGCACGAAACAACCACATGAACATTATCTGTAAATGCAGAACGTGAAGGAACCTCAGAGGCAAACAAAAGGTTAACGTGCTGAAAATAAAAAGTGAGGTCTATTGCAACATGCACATAAGTCATACTGTAATGAGGATGTTTTAAATAGATGTAACAATTAGTAAAGTCACTGTACCAGTAAATCATAAGGAAGTCCTGGAGCACTGGTTATCAGTTACCCAGAATGCCTCGGTGTTCTCCTGGGGTTAAACTCTGAAAGGTCAGACGGTGTCTCATTTACAGTTTCTGTAGCTTCCAAATGTAGGTGACGGACAATTAACACGAAGCTGGGTTGTAAACGGCTGCGACAATGGCATTTGTAACACACGCAAAAATGTTTTGTAAAAGCCTCCGAGAGTTCAATGTTTCATTCTTTAATGTGTTTAAAGCTATTGATGAGGTTTAAGCATATCATGCTCCCAGTGGGACACTTAAACTTTGACTGGAAGGAGACACTTGTGTTCATTTTATCTGCACTTAATTCATTTGGAGAAACATTTCTAGTAGGAGCCAATCCTGTAGTGTGTTTTTATTATTCTATAGTCAAGCATGTGATTACAGTATAACGTTTAAATTCATATGCTCTTAACTTTCCTCTCCACTTACACTGTGTGCAAAGCAATCTTTTATGATATACACTTATGTGGACCCCCTGTATTTTGTGTGTGTGATGTAACAAAGACAGCAGTAAACTTCATGTGTATGAAACTCCAAAGGGAGGCAGAAAGTGATGCACACAGGACTATTAGCCCTCAGTAATGCAGTTGATGCATTGGCTCTAGTCTTCTTGTTAACCCCTGAGACTCCAAGCAGATAAATCCTGGTTTAAGAGATCTGGCAAACCCAGAGCTCACACAGCAACTTGTGTCTACTGTTGCATCAACTACAGATCTGCCCAGACTCGTATATGACTTGAGCAGCTCTCTATAACCACACATATTTTGAGCATTCAAGCTTATCTTAAATGCAAAATTCTAATTTTTATTCACTGCCTCATTTTGAACTTTCTTACAACCCTTGATTGTAAGATTGTTTTCTACATAGCTATTATTCTATAGGACACTGAGAGGGTGTAATGTCATTACAGTGGTTCAAAGACCTAAAAATGGCTTCACCTTAAACATAAAAGCAAATATTCATTGTTGTTAATTTAATGTTTGCTTCCTGTACGGTCCTGCCAGTCTGAAATTTACACTCAAGCAGCAAAAGCATGTAGCAGCATCAGATGGGACATCTCATCTAGCTAATATTTATTCAAAGGCATCAGAAGGGCCCCTGATGTGTGCTGTAATGAATAAAACACGATGTTTATCCTTCCTGTTTAACGTTAAGTCCCCATGAACAGTCACGGGGACCAAGAGAATATTTACTTGTGTTGGGACACCGGGGAGTTGGATTATCTGCTGGCGGCTTTGTAGTTTCCTGAAGTTTCCCCGTGTGACATGTTCCAGGGAGAGTGCTCTTATTTACTCTCCGGTCCTGTGTGTATAGCCCTGCTCATTGTTTGTTCTTATGTGCCACCACTCCTGAGGACTGCGCTTCAGGAGAGAAAGAGGCGTACAAAGAGATAGAGAAAGGCCCGCTAATGCTGTGATCATTACACGGGAGGACACAGATGAAGATGTTGTCACTGCAGACTGTTTCACAAGAAAAGCTTTTGATATTGACTTGCATTTAGTGTAAAAGCATTATCGCTTGACATGTATAAGAAAATGGGTTTACACCGCCTGATAAGAGTCGCCTGCAGTATCTTTTTGCACCGAATGGTGGCGACATTGGGTTTCCAAACAGTGTAGACGAGTCAGACCCGTGCCGTGCTCTTTTCAAACAGTTTCGCCTTCTCAACCACCCGAGTCGTGTCATCTATTTCTGCGATTAGACGAAGAAAAGAGTGTGAACAATTAATGTGACGCTCATTTTGCAAATGTTTTTTTTTTTTCATACAATTACTTTGTGTTTGAGCTGAGAGTTAAAACGGTAGGTAGTGTGTAAGAAGAGTTGGAGATTTATTCGCTTATTAACAAGAAACCTGTGAAATAAATGGGATAAATAACTAATTCAAAAGTCTATACAAGGTTTTACATGCGGCCAGGGTCAAGAAGGTTTGTCTAATTAGTGTTTAAGAAGAGAGGCTGTAATAAATCTGACATAATTCGACTTGAAATATTTAAGTTGGCTAAGTGAAAAAATGAAAAAAGAACTTAAATGTCAAAAATGCGCTACAGACCAGTTTAATTTATCGTTAAACTCTTAAGCGTAATTTGTTTTCTTTTGCTTGCTTTATTTTCATACGCATGCTAGAAAAAACATTAAAATGAATATCAGGTTTTTTGTGTAAATTTGTGTATGGACTTGGACGGTCCGAAAACTTCGTTTCTTTACTATTATGCTAATTACGTCCCGGGATCGCGCTGCTCATTGGCTGAGTCTCAGTCAATTTCATATTTCAGTCCTGACGTCAGGGCGCCTATAAAACTAAGCAATGCTTTTTAACTCGTCGGCTGACTGATCCCTTAGAAAAAAAAAATCTATCAATCCTTGGGTGGAGTTTTTTTTCCCCCGTCTCCACAAGGCAACTATTTGCCCGGGACACGTACGTGAACCTCCTCAAATTGGCGCACTAATCCTAAAAGGAGCCATGAAGTGTTAAACGGTAGAAACGGAGAGAGCGGCGCTCAGATACCCGCACGCTGGGAGAGAGGGAGGAAACAGCGCTGCTCCAATGCGTCTGTGCAACACAGACTGAAGAGAGAGAGAAAAAAAAAAACTTATCGACTCACAAAACCTGAACCTGCGCTGCGCAATTAGTGCGAGAAAATTCACTTTTTCCTCCGGTTTTGAAGAAAATAAATAAAGAAATCAAGCTGGCTCAGTGCGTGTCTCAGCAGCCCACTTTGACAGGTGCTCCTCACCCCCTTTGGAGGACTGTCAACAGCAAGAGGATGGCATCAGAGCTGGCAATGAGCAACTCCGACCTGCCCACCAGTCCCCTGGCCATGGAATATGTTAATGACTTCGATCTGATGAAGTTTGAAGTGAAAAAGGAGCCGGTGGAGCCCGATCGCAGCATCAACCAGTGCAGCCGCCTGGTCGCCGGGGGATCCCTATCTTCCACCCCGATGAGCACGCCTTGCAGCTCGGTTCCCCCTTCTCCAAGCTTCTCGGCGCCCAGTCCGGGATCAGGGAGCGAACAGAAGGCGCACTTGGAGGATTTCTACTGGATGACCGGGTACCAACAGCAGTTGAACCCCGAAGCTCTGGGTTTTAGCCCGGAGGACGCCGTAGAGGCGCTGATCAGCAGCAGTCATCAGCTCCAGACCTTCGATGGCTATGCCAGAGGGCAGCAGTTCGGCGGCGCAGCCGGCGCAGGGGGCGCAATGGCCGGGGAGGAGATGGGATCAGCGGCCGCAGTGGTGTCCGCGGTTATCGCTGCAGCCGCAGCTCAGAACGGGGCTCCCCACCACCACCACCATCATCACCACCACCACCACACAGGGGCACACCACCCCTCCTCCGGGTCTCAGTCCAGCGGCGGCCCGGGGGGAAACCACCAACATCTGCGCTTGGAAGAGCGGTTCACGGACGAGCAGCTGGTGACCATGTCGGTGCGGGAACTGAACCGGCAGCTGCGGGGGGTCAGCAAGGAAGAGGTGATCCGTCTGAAACAGAAGAGGAGGACGCTAAAGAACAGAGGCTATGCCCAGTCCTGTCGGTACAAGCGGGTCCAGCAGCGGCACGTTCTGGAGGGAGAGAAGACGCAACTCATGCAGCAGGTGGACCACCTCAAGCAGGAGATCTCCCGGCTGGCCAGGGAGAGGGACGCCTACAAGGAGAAATACGAGAAGCTGATCAGCACCGGCTTCAGAGAAAACGGAGGATCCAGCAGCGACAACAACCCTTCTTCCCCGGAGTTTTTCATGTGAGTCCCGGCGCTGAAAAGTTTTAATAAGCGAACCTCACCAAAAAAGAAAAAAAGAAAAGAAAAAGAGTTTGCGCGCAGCTAAAATAGGTTGTGTGTGATTGTGTTTAAGCTGCTTTTAGTTAAGGACTAAACCAGTTTTTCCCAATTTGTGTCATTTTAAAAGTATATTGTTTCAAAAACCCAGATTTGTTTTGTTTTGTTTTGTTGTGTTTTTTACTTTCTAAAGAATACAAATTAGGAAAGGACTCTGGATAAAAATACAGTACCCATACATTTTTTAAAAGGATTTCTCTCCACTTTGTGATGTTTGCCTTTATAGACACTGCATAAACTTACCATCCTGCTGCGACCGATCGCATAGCCTTCCTCCTGCGCCTCATCCATCCTGTTCCCTTTACACCCATATTTGTTTTGTGAATTAAAACAAAGAACTTTTCAGACTCATCAGCTTTATTTGATGTGATTTTGATTTTGTTTGGTTGTTTAAAGTCACTCTGTTTTAATATGCTTTACTTCATTTTCATGTCATTCATCCTGTCTGATGAAAAATATCCAAACTGCGCCAAAGTTTGGAGAGACTTGTGTGAGTTAAATGAAGCCATGCATGCTGGTCATGTACGGATTGTTTGTTTGTTTTTTCTTCTTTTTCTTTTTCTGTTTTTGTTTTTTATTCTACCTTTTTGTGAACTTGTGTATAATTGTATTATACCGTGACTGCATTGCTCAGTTTCACTATCATTTGGAATTTTTTTTAATTTGTAAAACAAGTGAACAGGGCTATTTATGCGCCTCTTTTCTTTAATGAAAGTTCACCGCGTTTTCGACCCTTTCAACATTTTATTGGCTTCTTTTGGAGCCTTGTGTGTGTGTGGGGGGGGGGGGGGGGGGAGTGAAAGGGGACTTCATGTAAAGCAACAATGTGCTCAGTATTGATTTTTTTCTGTTAGGCAATATGGCATCAAGATGAGCAGCATCTGCATATTTACTATAAGCAATAATTATAAAATTTCCAACACTACCACTAAAATTATTGCGATCAACAAGTGGAGCTGAAGATAAAAACAGAGCAGAAGCAGATTTCCTGAAAATATGTGGAGGACGGGCTACTTTATGCAACAAATGATCTTTGTCTTGTAGAAGTTCACTGTTCATGTGTTTTCCTTTCATTTAAGGAGGCTGATTAAGTTCACTCGGAGCCCTATGGGTCTTTTTTTTTCCTCTTTATTTTCTGATAAACACACTGTGAACTGTTTGGAAATTGAAGTTTAAGGTTCCCCGGTGTTGCAGAATATTTAAGGAAAAGCACCAAGCAGCCATTCGTCTTTTTGTGACGCCCTGATTATCTGTTCAGTTAGAAACTGAAAAGGACAGGTAAAAGGCACACGCCCTGTTCACTTTAAAAAGCTGAATCTAATGTTACCATTCGTCAATAAACCTCCATGAATGGAAACAAATGCACCTTCCTGATGATGTTCGTTTTTGTTCTGTTCAGTTTTACTGCTTGTTTGTCTCTGTGTCTTTGAGGCGACGCCACACACTCTGAGGCTTGTAACGAATCCGAATTTCCTCTGCGGGATTGCAATAACAAAAGCATCTCGTTCATAAACGTGTTGTTTGCTTGGAAGCCGTGTAATTATCGCAGCTCCCAAACATTAAGTAGACTGCGATATTCCAACTTTGTGATCTGGTTCAGTTTATCCATGTGTTTTCCTTTAAATGCGGTTTTATTTTTTTAAATTTTAATTATTTTAAATTATCTTGGCAAATAAATTTAAGGGGTTTCTTTTAATGGCTTTTGCTTTTTTGCTTTTTTTTCTTTGCTTTTTTTTTTTTTTTTTTTTTTTTTTTAGAAGAAAATGACGGCCTTCACCTGTTGCGTATTTAAAGACAAAATCTTCTTGTTCTTTTTAAGCGTGTGTGAAAATGAAAAAAATAGCGCTCAGTTTTTCTTATATAATTTTTCGTTTTTCGCCCTGTGGCCTGATATCTGTGCTGCAAGTCACCTGCAAACGCTCAGTTAATGATTGATTTTAGAGTAAACTTGCACTTTTCACTCGGTACATGTGCACTTGTTGAACATTGCCTGTGGAAGGGTTTTAATTCAGATCCACCGCAGATAAAGCTCTGCGTGGCAAACGTGATGCATTTAGTCGTGTGTGCAGGCAAATGTGCGATTGAACACAACCAAAAAAAATTTTCTGACGTGTCATTTGCCGGTCCACAATAATTCCGCAGTTTTGCATATTTTTTCTTTTCTTTTTGGAAATCAAATCACGCCTCATATTTTTAACCAAACAATTTTTTTTGAAATGCCTCACTTTCATTTCACTGAGAAAAAAAAATCCTTCGACTTATGACACAAAAATGCTGAAAAGATTGAATTAAAGGCACAGGAGACACTCGGGGGGTAATTTGATTTGCTAGCGAGTGACAGGTCTTGTAGCCTTCCAACCTGCCGGGTAAATGTGGCCTGGGACGCCTTTCCTTCCCGATGAAGTCGGTGCATCCCTAAGAGGAGTATGGCTGCTATAAAAGCTGCATGGGGTCTGGTTCAGGCTCCCATACAAGGTCACTACAATGCATGCTGCTGGAAATCTTTGTGGTTGTGCGTGTGTGCGTGTGTGTGTGTGTGTGTGTGTGTGTGTGCGTGTGTGTGCGTGTGTGTGTGTGTGTTTGCACGCGAGTGTATGTAGAGAAGTGCTACTGGGTTGTCCCTCTGAGGGACCTTTTGACAGAGTGTGTGCAGACTAGGAAAAGTGTCCATCTCGTGGAAACCTTAAAATGCACCACAGTGGTGAATGTTTCAGTGTCGGGCTGAAAACAAAGACTGTGGACTGTGTATTTGGTTCTAAGTCTCACTTGTACAACAGTGACACTGTCACCTGGCTCATATGGATTCCATGAAAGCCTGGAGTGAGGGACAAGATGGCAAAGCATGATCCACTCATGCCTGAAGGAAGGATTTTCTCTGTGATTAAAAGAGAGTGAGAGACAGGGATGGGGCCCAAGGAGGAGAGAGAGAGAGAGAGAGAGAGAGAGCAATACAGAGGAGAGAGAGAGAGAGAGAGAGATATGCTGGCTGCCTTCCTGCTCCTTTCAGATGATAAACGATCAGAGATGCATCCTAGCTGAGAGGAGACGGCCTTTTAGTGAGCATGTGTCCACTAATTTATGGCCCTCCTATCTGATTAGGTCAATATAGTGTGCTATTTAATTACATTTGTGTTATAACCTAGAACTGGAGATACTATACTTCTTTCATGTCACCCCTTTCTTATGTGAGCCTGATAGGATTAGCGAGGTTTCCTCTGGACTTTGCTCAGGACGGCTCTACCTGTTTGTACAACAACAGTTTTGTGAATTTGTTAAGCAGCAGACCGAGGGCCGCTTTTGTGTCACGGTTCGCAGGCTTCTAGGGTTTGTGCTCCGGCATCAATGCGTAAGAAGGATAAAACGGAAAATTGCTGATCGTTGTAGGGCTGTGGAAATTGTGTGGGATGCCGGGTGTTTGTGGGTGTGTTTTGACCTCTAGACACACCGAGGGGCTGCGGGATTTAGTAGTACTGATTCACTTCCTGTTTTGGAGGAGGACCGAATGCACAGGAAACAACAATTCAGGGCTTCCTTCTCACTTCTCAGCAGCCGTAATCACTGCTTCTTTCGCTGTGTTTTGCTTCCTCTGTTATTTGCACAGCATGAAAAAGTGTGTACACGCACCATATAGACACTCCACGTTATTAATCTTATCAGTATGAACTGTAATTCTGTTCTCTGGCCCAGCATATTGACTTCTTCACTGTGATCATTTGCAGTCTGTCCAATGATTAGGTTATTAAAGATAATGTAGTTGTCTGCTGTCACAATATTGGACTCTCTTTCAGGTCAACTATGGGAAATCACTCTGAAATTTATCAGTATTGACATTTAAATCATCATCATGTACTTTGCTTTAATGTCTCAGAATTAATAGGACAAAAGGATATGCACAGTGGTTAGTGTCTGTTCGTGTGAGTGCTCAATAACCTGCCTGCATTGTCTTTTATGTGACCTTGTTGCGGAAGCGTGTATGTATGCTTTAAGGGAGGGTGGCAAATCTGTAAGAATGAGTCGTTGTGTCATGAAATTCAGATATTTGCAGTCTTCATTGTGTAATGCTAAAAATAAGAAGCTATGCATTTTTTTGTAGTAAAATACAATTGCAATTAATTTAAGAGCAACACAGTTAAAGTTCAAGCCCTTGCAGTAGATCTTTACAGTTGTACCTGTGTTTGTTTTTCATAATGTAAAAATATATGTTATCATTTCATTCAGAGCTATCACCAACCACTGACTTAAAAACAACAACAAAAAAGCTGCTCTTTTACTAAAATAATGTTAGGATTGCATGTCTCTGCATGTCTCATTCATTCAGCACAGCAACACGGCAGTTTTTACGCGTGCACGTTCATTCTCCGTCATTCCCCTGCGAACGCTTCCTTCCCAAGCGTGGCAAACCCCTGAAAAGGGTTAAAAACATTTTCGCATTCACAAGAGGAAACAATTTCAATCTCTCCTACTCATTCCGCATCTGCATCACTCCACACGATAAACATTTACATTTAAAGTGATTTAAATCGGCTGCCTTTATGCTCCTCTGTGGTCCGTCCATCATCTAGACCCGCAGTGCCCGAGCTTCTCTTCCTCTCTCGCCCTCTCGCAGTGTCCTGAGTTATGTCATTTATTTAAAAAGCTTAATAATTTAACTTGTCCGTCCTGTCACGGCTATGCACGTGGTAAAAAAAAGCAACGGCTGTAAAACGTTGGTGGTGTTTCCTGTGAATGTTTCTGATTGGCTTTGCATGCTTTTTTTTTTTTTTTTCCACAGGCCAAATACAATCATGGGCAGAGTGATTGAAATGTGATTGTGTGGATCCAAATCTACAGTGTTGCGCGTTAAATTGAGACAGCTTTAAATGCAGAGATGCAAAAGAATGTGCTTATAGACACTGGGGTAGATTTGCATTTGCTTGTGGAGGAAGCTGTCCTCAGAATGCATAACTAAAGGGCAATAGATGAAAGCTAATTATGATTTAATTATAGGGGATCACAATATTCTGACTTGCAGATAAACATAACTGAGGCTGTGTTGATGTTTTCAACAGTGAGTTGAGTTTCAGGGCACAGAGTCAGTGAAGTGGTGTGTTTTGGACCGCGGCGAACGTGGTTTCGGGGAGGGGGGGGTGTTTGACAAGTGAGTGCATTATGCGACTGTGTGGGTGGGTGTGTGAGAAGCTGTCTGTGTGCATGTTTAGGTCTGGCTATGCATGAGTTTGTTTTATGCAGGGTGGAGCTGGAGCCGAGCCCGACCCCTGCGTGTTTTACCTGCATCTCAATGAAGCAAGAGGTGATTTACCCTTCTGCTGCAGCCACTTCTCTGTCTGTCTCTCTCTCTCTGTCAGTCCAGCAGACATTGATCTCTTTGCCAAGCAAGGTGACCGACAGTGTTTTCAGCTCTTCCAAAGTCTCTGCTTTCCCTTTCATTTGCACCTGGGAAAGGCCTTGACCCCACACGTTGCCGCTATGTGTGTTGCCTTCTGCACATGGACCTCCCTTGTACAAAGCCCCGTTTGCATGTGCGTGTCAGTGCGTGTCTGTTTGAGTTGGAAAGTGGACGTGCATGTCGACGCTACGTGTCTACGTGTTTCTGACCCTGTGCCTAACCAGCTCTGTGTTTACTTTCATGAACAGGTGCATGCAGTTCTTTGCAGATTCACCCAGATGTACAGCAGTTTATTTAAACTGCTGTACATCTGGGAGTCTCTCCATACTTTGGTGCTTTTTAAGGTCTTCTCTGTGCTGCAGGTCTGTAACTGGGAGCTGCTTCATACCCGAACGCGTCAGAGTTCATTTGGTGCCAGTGTGAATCGGATTACAGGGAAATGAATGGCTTTCATTGTTGCTTAAAGATGGATTGAGGGGCATTAAACATCCTTCTTTTGCCTCATTTCTCACTCTCAGAAGCAAAAAGTTTTTTTTCTTTTTTTTTAGTGTGATTCATTACTCAGGTTTCCTTTATTCACCCTCATCGCTGCCGTGTCTTCATATAATGTCCACAGGTGTGCAGATCATGCATGCATATGTTTGCAAAAATATGCAAATACCCTGCCCTTACCATGTAAGCATGACCTAATGTAGGATTTTATCATTTATGATACATCTAATTATATTCTAATGAAATTATTTGCAAAAAAAGAAGCCTAAATGTGGATAGTTTTATGAAGAATGGAGTAGAAATTATATTATAGGAGATTACAAAATAGTTTGAAAAATATTATAACAATGTGAACTGCAGTGATTTCCTTTTTGTGCTAAACTGTTCTGTGCATACAGGTTTTTTTTGTATATGTTATTAAAATAATTAAGTTGCGTCTCATTGTCAGCATATTTGAATGCATCAGTCTGTATCCATGGCTTAGTAAACGAGCTGGATAAAAACTGCTTGATTTTAAACCTTTTATTCAAATCTAATTCCTGATGTTTAACTGATAAAAATATCCCTGCATTTAACACATTAAATACAAATTTAAAAAATGAATATGAATAAAAATTAGCTCAGAATCACTTGATATTATTTTAGTAACATAACAGGTTGGTTTTGGGGAACTGTACGAGCACCTCACATTCATTATTCAGTCACAGCATTACCGGTTTTCTAAGCGGACTGAAATTACCCCTGACTTTTACAGTCATTGCCAGCTTTGGGAACCAGATAGCCATTACTTAATGTCAGATATATGTTGTGTTTACACCAGTGTGCACTTCTGTTTCATCAAAAAGTGTGTTAATGTTTCGTCCTGTTTTGTTTTTTGCAGGACGTCAAGAAAATTCCTCCATCTGTGATAGAGAGCTGTGCCCTCTCGGCCCCGCCACCCTGGAGTCTGAGGTAACTTGATGCTCATCGTTGACACTTTCAACAAAAACAACATCTTTAAAACATTTTTTGCTGTTTTTGATGCAAGGTGAAAATAAAATGTAAATGAATATTTTAATGATTGGTGGCACTGGAGACTAAATCCTCCTGCAGATACAAACTAAATACAGACCATGTTCTTACTAAGATTTTAATGATACAGCTTTCAGTAACCATTAAATATACGCAGCAATAATTATTTTTTTTTATATTTTATTGTCCAAATTCTAGAGTTATACAAAAAGGTCTCAGGATTAATCTCCTTTACTCGCAGGTTTCAGCACAAAACAAAACAGATTTAAAATGAAAAGAAATGCATCAAGCAAAACATTAATTATAAACAATAACCACACTAGAAAGCTGCTTATGCATTGTTTTAACTCCTGAAAGCTCTCTTTATGTTTTATTACATTATTGTAGAGAAGTAGAAAAGATGAAAGCTACTATAATATTTCTGTTACCTGCTTTGTGCTCTTAATTGAAGCACTTTAAATACAGACAGGATCTCCTGACAAAAACGATTGAAACTTCAAATCTTTAGCTCTGATCAGTATTTTGATAATCAATATTTCAGTTAATCTAAAAGGTTCATCTTTGCATCAGATATTAGATTAAATGATTTGCTTTAACAAGGAAAGCAGACACCTGCTGGTTATCATTACTGCCTTTATTTCCTACTTCACAACCAAACTCATCGCTCTCTCACAGCATCCATTGTATGCGATGTTTGGCATCACTGTGTTGGGGCTCTGACAGTGCTGCTTGAATGACGGAGGGGTGACATGCACCGAACTCATGGGATGAGACCAAAACCTTTCACCTCTGTCTTGACCCCCTGACTTCCTGTGTCCCCCTCTGCTCACTCTGCAGAGACAGACACTATACAGTATTTTTTTTGTTTTGTTTTATTTCTGGCAGATACACAGATGGAGGGATGTGGGATTGATGGAGTGAGTGAGGGATAGCGAAGACTAGATTTTATACTGTGACACTTGCAGTAGGAAAACAGAGGCTATAAAAGCAAAAAAAAAAAAAAAGGAAGGATGGATGAAAGGAACTGAGAAAAACTTAAGACTGAAGGTAAGAAACTGTGGAAAGTGAGGCGCCTGCTTTTGAATGCAGACATACACGCCGGGACGAGAGGACAGAAGGAGGTTAGGAGGCGAGGTAAGGGAGGAACGCATGGCGGGAGGGCTCCTGGTCGTGGATGCAGACAGACAGGCAGGGAAACCAGAGGAAGGCGGTGACCTTCTCTGCTGCTGGAGGATCGAAGGCTTTATTTAAAGGCCTGGTCAATGCTGGGTGCTGCTGAGGTATCAGCCTCACAGCCAGGCGACTCATCACCACTGTAATACAACTCTCTAATGCTAACCCCCCCCTCCCACTCTTTCTCTCTCACACACACACACACACATGCACAGGACAGGACACTCTCTGGACACCTCAGGTTTTACCCTGTACAATCAGGAGGCTGGACAGAGGAAACTACCGCATCAGCATCAGCTAATTTTACCATGCAGCAGGCAGCACACTCTACTTTCTTCATGCGCTCAGCATTGTGAAGCGCACGCCAGTTTTGCTTTTGACACGCTCTCCATCACCGCCTGTTATTTTGCTCTTGACTGATAACGGCCGATGTGAACATTTTTAAATGTGAAAGCATGGCCGTAGCGTGGATGCAGGCGGGGAAAGAGTTAAAAGCTGACAGGATGCAGCCTGCTAAGGCAGGACTCGTGCATCTGTCGGTGTGAGCGGAGCACGTGTTCGCGTTTGCGCATGTGTGTGTGGCTGCAGCGCGAGGACACCTGCGTGCTTCAGCACTTTCTGGCTGTCGGGAGCTCTGAGGTCACAGGCAGAGGGAGTGGAGAGGGCACATTAGAGTAAGCTTCAGAGCCCCCACCCACACACCACGCCTCTGCCGTTTCTTCCCTCCCACCACTTCAACCCTCACTTTTCCTCCTTCTTCCCCCTGTTATCCCCTCTCCCCGTCATCCCTCCTCCTCTCCTCTTCCCGCTCACTCCGGCTCGCCTTCTCCTCACGGTGATGGGGTGAGTCAGCCACTCGGGGGGAGGGGGGCGCATAGGGGCAAGGTGCCTCTGTGGCTGACAGCAGGCAGGTCAGGTTTTTGTAGACATGGCAGAGGAGGAAGGACACGTGTGCACGCGGAAGCTTTAAGGTGCGAGTTTACGGTGAGGTAGCGAGCACATCTTTAAATGGACATAAGAGGTGCATACGTAAAAACCCGAAAAGCTTTTTGCAAAAGATGGTGGATATTAACAGTAAGGTTATAAAATAAGGTTGGCTGTTTATGAGAAAAAGTAAATGGGTACATAGGCACAAATAGTGATATGTTGTATCTCCTGATAACTATTCGATATTTTGCAGCACATTTAGTAAAAACTCAAATCACCTTTTTCAGCTTCTCAGAAAACATTCTGGAGGAAATCTGTATTGAATTTTAACTTTATTACAACTTAATTTAAAGTTCAGGTGATTAACAGTGCAGTTCACTGTATGCCCCAACACTGAAGTGTCATTTATGAAACACTGAAGTTGTGTTGCACTCATTTGTCATCAGCAGCAAACGGGATTTTTTTTTTTTTTCCATCCACAGTTTGACACACTTCACTATCCTTCACTGCCTTGGATATATATAACTACTAGCTGCCTATAGTGAGACTCATTACAGTGTTAGAGTTTCGGTAGTGACACAGACGTCATCGCTCCATCCAGAAAATCCAAATGACAGTGAGGATATGAACAGGATGTATGCTCATTATTAGGCCTGGTCTGAAAAGAGAAGGGACCAAGTGGAACTGGGTCGGTGTTAGAAATAACAAAAAGACGAGAAATTTCACTCCGTGCAGTTGTAAAGACACACCAAGACGAACACACAATAGCCGTGTTTTAGATTCGGATTGTTTTTTCTAAAGCGTGTTTTTATTTCTAAGCCACAGATTAGATGCTACTTGATGAGGATAAAGTTTCACCCCCGAGCCAAACCTCTGAACATCAAGCCACTTTTCTTTTCAACTAACATTAATATATGAATTTTTTCTCCTTTGTTTCAGCTGTTTAAGCCTGATTTGTGTTGTTTTATTCAAACCATAATTAGTTGTAAAGCTGTTACTGCTGCACGCATGTGTGTGTTTGTGTTTGAGCCTCAGAGCCACTGTTGTCCTCTGGTTGTTACTGTGTGTTCACAGCATGATTGAGAGTGGAACTTGCGATGAGCCGGAGGTTAGTGTGATATAATGTATTCCCCTGAATCACCGCAGCCAGCAGCCCAGGGCCTTCCTCTTGCCCGCAGCCTCCTTTTCCTTACACACACACCTTCCACACTCCCCTCGCCTCACCGTCCTCTCCCTTTCTTCCCTGCGGTGACTACCCAGTGTTAGCTGCTTAGCACTGCACGCAGTGTCTAATTGAATTCCAACGCTTAGGCGTTAGCTCCTGATGCTATGTTAACACAGCACAATACTAACAATCCTCAGCACGTGTTCAACACTCTTCTTTTAATGAGAAAATTAGTGCTAAGCTCGTTTTGGCAACACATGATTTATTCAAAGCTCCAAACTGTGTCTTCTGTATCCCCTAAAGGATCATTTTTATAGCCATCAGCAAATCAGCACTTCATATACACACATCGAGAACATGCAGAATATGTCTTGTGGATACGCCGCTGGTACACTTGTGTGTGCGTCTCCTCCTGCTTCTCATGCTTCCACTTGAGCGTATCCATTGTCGCTTATATAAATGTGTCTGCTGGTCTTTCTGCATCCATATTGCTGGCGATGCCGTCCATCCCCTCTCCCTGACACCTTCACTTTTATTCCCTGGCTCTCAAACATTAGCTCTGGGCTTTAATGGCACATATTTCCTGGGCCCGGCTGAAACGGGATGCATCTTCTCCTTGTTAGCTTGATAAATAACCAGGCTGCTGCGAAAGTGCTGAATTTTAGCTTTCAGCCTCTATTTTCTGCTGGATGACATTAATTTTAAGTGCTGAGAAGGAGCTAACTAATACAGACAAATAAATAAGGAGGCGGGAGGGAAGGTGCAGAGGTGCTGGAGTCAGTGCTGTCCCTCCCTTCCCCCCCCTTTACCTGTTTACACACAGGCATTCATAGACGCAATATGCAAACCTGCAAAAATATACCGTACACACAAATGGGGCAAAGTCAAGCAAGCGCACACACTCGGTTTCTCAATAGGCGCCTCTGTTGTTGTCCAAACTGTAAAATCAGCTTGTCCTGTTAGCACAGCTCCGGCAAAGTCAAATGTTTGACATATTGGAAGCAGATAGTTGGTCAGTCAATCAGTAAGGAAGATTGGCTTCATTCATCTCTATTTATTATTTGCATTTCTTATTTTCTCTTTCAGTGTTACTGATTTTTTTGCAATATGGTGGGAGAGCTCCATCTGGAGCACAATGATCTGGATTAAACTGTATTTATGTGTATTCAGAGACAACAAAGCAGAATAATTAAGTAGTAATTTTTTTTAAAATTTTCTTTTTTAGAAAAGACCCCCAAAAATGGTTTCTAGCTTTAGTAGTTGGTACCGATGAGTTTTAAACTGTATCTTTTTATATCCCCTCTTGCTCTCTCAATTCCCATTATTAATGGATTGATCTGTACTGTTTGTTTTCATGATTGTTCTCTTGACATACAGCTATATACCTCAGTGTCAGTTGAACCTTTGT